GGTTTGAGGTGCAACACAATCAGTCTAATTGGACAGGTGTTTGCAAACCATTATGATCCTAAAGCGGGGTGTCAGGAAAAGCCCCCCTCCCCAGCCCCCACAACCTATGCAGAGGATTAGTGCGGCGGATGAGATGGAGAGTGGGGCTTTCAGGTGTCAGAGCGGAGCAGGCTGATGATGGAGAAGAAACACAGACACTGAGAGGCAAAGGGAGATTAAAGAGGAGCAAGTCTCACAGTGTGGGCTAAGCTCCAGTCATCTGTTGTCAGCGCCCCCTGGTGGGAGAATGCGCCCCACAGAGAGAGCAGACAAGGATTAGGAGACACACAGCACACATTCAGACACAAACTGCACAATCAACTTCCCATTACACACACAAGGTCATTCACCAAACTGCCAGTTTTGTTGAGCAAGTATTATTTTTTGTGACCATAACTGAATAAAACGGAATCTGAATTTAGATGTTCACTTCTCGAATGTTAATCAAACAAATGTGCAGTGTAGCTAAACCTCCACAGTATGGCAATAAAAAGTTTCTCCATGGTGCTACCAGGCCAAAGTCAAGTAAGATCAACAATAAGTAGGAGTGGCGCGAGATCTCATTTTTCACGAGACGAGATGGGGTCCACAAGATTGAAACAAGATTCTGACTATAATAATTGTTTTACTATATGAATTTTGAATAGTGGTCTTGAATTTTAAAGGTTTTTAGGTAATTATTCCACATTTCTCCTTGTTCTTAAAACCTCTACTGTACCTATACATATATATTACGGGCGACACGGTAGCCGAGTGGATAGCATCTCGCTTCTCAGCAAGAAGATCCTGGGTTCAAATCCTGGTCGGAACAGGGCCTTTCTGAGTGGAGTTTGTATATCCAAGGTTTCCTCCGCGTTCCGTCGTCACCGTGTTTGAAGTGAATGGAACAATACCGGAACTCTGAACATTGTCTCTAAAAATGCGCTATATAAATAATATTACTACTTACTACATTTGTTTTTACAAAGGCAATATCACAACATATACACCAGGATCATAGAGAACACTAAACCATGGATTCGGAAGCCCAAGATGGTAAGTGTGACGGGAAGAGTTTACTTCTAAATGTAAATCAATAGCAATGAGTCAATAGCCAGCGCGAGTTGGAGCTTCATTGAGCTAGGGGGTTAGCACTGTTCATCTATATATAGTCTAGGATCTTGACCCATCCCTAGTAGTGAGGCAAAACCACTCACAGCAACTTTTAAGAAACCCTAAATAGAAGAAATCCATATCTAATTTTTAAACCACAAGGATTTTTTATTGGCATTTGATACACAGCACAACTTAATCTTAATGGTTCCATACTACGCTTTTCATGTTTCACAGTCAATCCTATGCACATGTGTGATAATAATTTGAGTGAGACACCATACAACCCTTAAAACCTGTGAGATTATAGCCATCTCTTGCAAAGACGTGACACCACCTCTACTCAAACACCTCTGTCTGTGAGCCCGCCTCCCCCCACCCGCACGGTGACGTAGCATCACGCTCTGAGTTGTTTATCACCGGTACATAGTCATTTCAGATCGGAGAATAACATTTTTCAAACAATGACAATCCGTCACATCGAGCCCTATGTCCTTGATGCAGAATTAGACCCTAATTTTTGAGTTTACAGAAGTATACGGCGAGTTAGCATTACTGTACTTACAGATCGTGGGTCCATGTGAGCGTCTTTTATCGTGGGAATAACACATGTTTCCAGATCAGCTTTTGAGTAAGTCCAGTTCCATTGTCCCTGTAGTTCTGGATTTGGAACAGCCTCAGTGAAGTGTTGCAGATGAACAGATTCATTCAAACAGAGGCCAATCCCCATGAAAAAAGTCAAGCCGCATTCTTCCTCTTCTGGCCAAGTAGTGCATCACATATTTACACCCAAGACACCTTTGCTCCAAGTTAACACTTATATTATCTGGCAAAAGCAACAAAATAAAATACTCCATGTGGTGTCCACGGGACCAAACCAGATACCCTGGACTCGGGAGCTAGACTTGGACTCCCAATTTCAATTTGTCAATCACCTCCCGGCTTTTAGTATCATTATTATTTTGTATTATTTTTGACAACAAACAGTAAAATTATTGTGTATTGTTTTCCCTGTTATGACGAGAGTATTTAAAAAGCATATAAAATACAAAAGTAAATGAGCTTATGTGCGTCATATTTGTCATCAGTGTGGTAATTGTCACTGCCTCTCGAGGGTGAAGGAGACAGATCGCTCTCTAACTAAAGCATGACAGAATCAATGAAAAAACTACTCTGGGCATGTGTATGAAGGCCAAATAGCACTATAATCATGTTTAAAGCAGAGAAAAGTCAAAAAGTGTAATTTGGGACCTTTAAATCAGAATAACACTTAAAGCTAGAGATTTAACAAAATGTCAACAAGGTTAAATACATATTGTAGTTTGGAGAGCTTGTCACACCTCCTTTTTATTTGACTAATTAACCGCCTGGCAATGTCTTTAGTTGACCAAGCATTTCTTTAATTGATTACAGCCCTAATGAAGTGAGACCTTTTGTGTATAAGTACTTATGTTGGGAAAAGGCTCCATATAATGAAACATGTGGCTGCAGTGAAAGCGGGAGATCCAAATGTCACAGGTCACCATCCATTGGCTAATACAGCTGAGCAGGCACATTTCTTGCCTGTAAACATGTACACAGCACAACAACATCTTACTCACTTGTTATTGGACGAGGCACAGGCGCATGGTGTGAGCCTCTCATGAATAGATCTTTATTGATTTCAACTAAACTGCATCAGACCAGTGCAACCTCTCAACAACTCATGTGTGCACACTACACCCGTACAAAGAACACACACATACACAAAGAAAAAAGGCCCCACAACCACTCCAAGCTCTCGGAAATGACCCCATGAAGACGAGAGCTCTTCACTACAGCTGCAGACAGTGGGGTAAAAACAGCCTCTCAATGATAGCACCCACAACAGCAGCCACAGGTCAACAAGGAGGTGCGAGTTACACCAACAAGCTGGACCAGACGATACACACATAGTGGAGGATACACACAAGGGGAATGTTTGGATCTGCATCTCAAGTCAGCATCAAAAACACTTCATAAGATAAAGTAGTCCAGGACACTGACATTTTTACACACAGCAATCAATCAATCATTGGACTACAATTTTCATAATAAACTTTACAATGGAAAAGAGAAATATATGAACATAAGGCTATGAGTACCACCATATCTCAACCCGGTCTAGACAGCCCTTTATCAGCCACATTACAGCTAGTGTAGTGACTGTAGGAAGTATGTATTGAGTAACAAAAGCAAGCCTTCAGTGTAGAGAAGGAAACTGCAGCCACGAGTAACAGATGTATTTTACAGGCACAACACTGTGAATTAATAATGTTCCTCAGACACACACACAGACATGCATTGTATTATAGATTGATATATATTGATTTATATGTGTTATTTTTATCTGTGCATACAGTTCAAACATAGAACACCCTATCCTATGTTTTAGATTTTTACTTGTTTGTATAAACATTTCAGTTTCACTTATTGTTTTTAAAGCGTCTTGAGTTGTCCCATGCATAGATCAATCAATATCAAAATATTTTCCTCCAATGTTGTTTCTAGTTGTCCCACTAGTAAGCAAAACTAGTCATTAACATAGACTGTATTAATCAGACCATACAACAGATAAACGTACAGCTGAGTCTGCAATAATCCTGGGTAAATAATGTATCGTCTTTGGTGAATACAAACCTACACCTAAATGCCTTTATCCCACATTTTTGACAGATGATAGTTTTCACTATTTTTGAACTACATTTTAATATAATGTTTCACAGTATTGCTCTGGTCCAAATGTCTCCCCTCCGTGTCACAAGTGTAATTAGTAAAAAGAGACTCAGATCAAAGAGTTACACTAGTGTCTCTGAGTCTATGATGATCTGCACCATGCTTTGATGCTGCTTAAGCTCTGCCTGTTAATGTACCACGGATAAAAATACTACTACACCATGTAATCTGGCATTTATCCCTTGAGAGCAGAAGCCCGAGATGTGACACGTGTCAAGACAAGGATGTGGGAAAAAAGAGCAAATTGAGCAAAAAAACAGGAGCAACAATCAGACTTTTTGCTGCTAGCTAAATAATGATATAAATGCAGCTAATGTCTCACGTTAGGTAAATAGTCAACATTCACAATTTTAAGGTTATCGACAACAAGTAAGTGAATGACAGAAGACATAACAACAGTAGTTTAAAATGCTTACTACCTGCATTTGAAGACACTGCTGCGATTTCTTTTTTCTGCCCCAAACACTGTGAAAGCCAAAGGTGACTTCTTCTTCATGTTGTGCACGTTTCCGCGATTAGTCTACAGTTATATATATGCACTTTTGTCCCTTGAAACAAAAAACGCAAAGTTGAAGTCATGTGCGCGGCCTGGACGGAGATCTTTTTTCCCGCCGCACGCCCTTCCATGTGACGTCATGTGTTATGAAGTGCACGCATATGATGGTGAGGATTATACTATTTTAACTACTTTACCAAAAAGCTAATATGTTCATGTGGATCTACAACACAACAGAAAAGTATGTATTTAGATCATAGACTGTAAACATTCAATTTAGATAGGCCAGAACAAGTGTCAATAAATACATTTGGTAGGTCTGACTAAGTGGGACAGTGTTTAGAGTGAAAGAATATTGACATGAGTAGTGTCTTTGATTGTCCAAAAATGTGGTGTATAAAACTAATGCATTATTATTATTGAAAAGCTCTTCTTTGGGATACTCTGGTGGATTCACTCCATGAACATGCATGAACTGATATGTGTTCATTTGGTCTAAAGTGAAACTAAAAAACAATACATGTTATTGGCTATAATCAATATACATGTACAATAATTTGGTCATTGAATATGAAATTGTGTCCATTATTTTTTATTTCAACTATTTACAGAAAGAAGAATGCATGGATCTCTGGTGGCAGCTTCCTGGCACGCAAAGAGAACACAAGGTAAGATTTCAACTATATCCATGACCATATTCTGGATACAATTCATACAATTGGTTTGAAGTATAATAAAGATAATCCACAAAACTAGCTGCTCATAGCTATAGGTACTAATACATTGCTTTAGGAGAATGTGATATCAATACTTCAATACTGAATTAATGCTCAAATTACAACAATTGTACTACTTCCCAGTGTGCCCACGTTATGTCAGTAATTATAAACCTGCCCAAATACAATTATTTTTCAACGTGTCGCGGAAATGGCCGTCAAACTCATACTGTGACACTGTAGACAAGTTACAGGTATAAGCAATCTGAGCTTAAGTCTGCAGTAAAAAGGTGACAGGCAGTAAATGAGTGCTGCGGGTCCTCCACACCTGAGATGGATGGAATGGCTGTATACTGTTAACGAAGACAAAAATGAGTCCGAGGCAGCATCAGTATTGTGTGTGGGTGCCTGAGCTGGAGCGGTATGACTCAATGTACCAGTCTGCGTTACAGACATAAGTGTGAGGTGGTCCATACGTCAACAGGGCCTAATTGAGAGTTTCACGTTCACTCTACACTTGCACCTGACACAGCGCCCCAGGGCCTATTGTGAGAACGCCAACTTCATGTCACAAAGAAAATGAGAGCGATGGATGATAAGGGGAGCAGAAGTTTATGCTTTTTTATTTCCCCGGGCTGATTTTCCCCATAACTTTTAAAGAACTCAAGCAGCAGTCCCCGTCTTAAACACTTACAATTGGTGGTGGCCTCAAGGCTGAAGCGAGTGGCAGACTTTTGACCCGTGAGTAGCTGTCCATCAAATATCAAGTAATTCAGGTATTTTTGCATACTAAATCTGACAAAAACAAGTCATTAGGTAATAATAGTGGGTGTTTTTGTTTGCATATAGCTTAAAATAGAACAACCCATGCATTCCACAGCTGTGACTGTTGCTATCTCATTAAATTTTGACAATAAAATGCACCGATATATGGAAAATTTAAGGCAACTCATTTTTGGGTCTATGGATTCCCAATAGTTATAGTAAGGATCAATTAAAGTCACTCTTGTTGTTCGAGTTTGCATGTTCTCCGTGTGTCTGCGAAGGTTTTCTCCAGATTCTACTGGTCATGATAGACCACAGTGGCACTATGAAGTAACAGTATCTACATAATTTGATTGTACTTCAGTTGATAATGACAAATTAAGTACATGACAATTTATACGAAGTTCAAATCGAAATTATATCTTCATATAATAAACAAATCCAAATCGTCCATCTAAACCAGGCCAAATCAAGGCCCGCTGTGTCATTGTATGTGGCGCTCTTTCTTGCAAATACAAACCAGCCATTGAGGTTCTTTCACAGTGTCATCCAGGCAACTCCAGCTCCACTTGTTGTAAAGCTCAGAACCTTTGGAATCCAGTTGATAGCTTTAGTTGAATATACGCCCAATTGTTTATGATTTTGTCACTTAATTACTGTATCAACATGGGATTAATGTAGCATTGGTGAGAATCAATATTGACATATCCAACCCAATTTCTAAGCCCAGAACAGCCTGAATCCAGTCTTGACAGTTTTACAATCCCTTTTGTCGGCCCCTGGACAAGTCTGTTTAAATAAAGATGGTGGCCCACTTACTAAAATGTTAGGACACCCCTGATTTAAACCCTAGAGGTGATTACCCCATATACTGTACCTATACTAAGATGGATTGCTTGGGGATAAATCAAGTGCACATATATTTTGTCCAAATATTCAATGTATTTTTTTCTACGTTTTTCATTCTTCCAAATCACCTGAAAAAGTAATGTAGCTCCCTTTTCTCTTCTTGTAATTTAAACAGGTCGAGGAGTTTAATGGACGCTGCGGGCCTGGTAAAAAAGAAAATAGATAGGATTAATGCATAAAATTTGAAAGTCAAAACTTGGGAAGATTTATAATACTAGTGCTGAATATATCAAAAATCACACTTTGTCAGAACATTTGGGCAATGAGAAGCAGGTGTAGTGCTGGGTAAAAGGTGTGTGCGCTCACTGACATACACCCACACACAATTACTATCCACGCAGCACTTTGTTCCCTGGGGCGGACCACAGCCGTCAAATCCACTCTGATTCTGAATTAGCAGTGATTGGCTGTCATTGCAGGGTGTCCCACACAGCTGAGACCACTCATACTCCACTCACACTCGTACAGTTTTATACGGACAGAGCATCATGTTTCAGTAAACTGCCAAGCTCTCCACTCTGTAACTAGGGCTGTTTTAAAGAGCTGCGGTTTAGCATAGCGGCGCATGTGTGTATGTTCACTTCTGCCGCGGCGGTGGATGGAGCAAACATTTCAAGATTGTGCGATAGTGCAGTTCTCTAAAGTACATACCCATTACTTTTTGTTGACTTTTGCAGTAAATGTGAATGGGAAAGACTGTCGCAACGTGTCAAACTCATTTAATTTGCATGATTAATATTATCTTTTAAAAAGTCTATTGATAAAAAATAAAAAAGAAATACAGGGCAACAGAGCCAAAAGGTTGTAAATTCTTGATTAATGTGTTTTTTTTTTTTTTCTTGAATCAAGTGCATTCTAAACAAGTCATAAATCAAGATTTTCCAATGGGTCAAGTAGTTTAGTCTTTTGCAGTTGCAATGTCTTTTTCTTTCCTCGGAGGGGTTTTCTTGACTCTTTTAAAACTAGATAGTTTTGCTTCTCCTATTGGCAGATCTTGATTTAAAGCAGCCCAATTCAAGATATTTGTCAATATTTGCAGTGTAACACAGATCAATGGACACCTGGAATTATGACTATATACACAGTGGGGCAAAAAATAATGTAGTCAGCCAAAGCTAATTGTGGCAAGGCAAGGCAAGGCAAGTTTATTTGTATAGCACAATTCATACACAAGGCAACTCAAAGTGCTGAACAAGATAGCATTAAAATCATAAATAATCACAGAACATTAAAACAAAAAGATAAAAAATAAAATCCCTCAGTTGTATGCACAGCTAAACAGCACCGTTTTTAACTTGGTTTTAAACATTGTCAGAGAGGAGGCCTGTCTCACATCTTCAGGAAGATTGTTCCAGATTTTAGCAGCATGAATCTGAAAAGCAGCCTCCCCATGTTTAGTTCTGACTCTGGGCACTAACAGGAGTCCAGTCCCTGTGCTCCTCAGAGTCCGGGCTGGTTCATATGGGACTAACATGTCACTAATATATTTTGGTGCGAGGCCATGGAGAGACTTGTACACAAGCAGAGCTGTTTTAAAGTCTATTCTCTGAGCCACAGGAAGCCAGTGCAGAGACCTGAGGACCGGACTAATGTGGTTGTACTTCCTGGCTCTAGTCAGGACTCGAGCTGCTGCATTTTGAATGTACTGCAGCTGTTTTACAGCCTGTTTGGAGAGACCTGTGAGCAGGCCATTGCAGTAGTCTAACCTACTGGAGACAAATGCATGGATAAGAATCTCCAAGTCTGCTTTAGACACTATGTTTTTGATCCTGGCAATGTTTTTTAGATGGTAAAAAGCTGCTGATGTTACTGATTTGATGTGGCTATTTAAGTCTGAGTCCAGTATTACCCCTAGATTTCTGACCTTGTTTGAAGGTTTTAGGGAGAGAGACTGTAGATGACAGATGACGCTCTCTCTTTGTTTCTGGGGACCAAAGACAATCATTTCAGTTTTGTCTGCGTTCAGCTGAAGGAAGTTGTTTTGCATCCACTCACTGATCTGTTGGATACAGTGAAGGAGTGAGTCCACTGGTCCATGTTCTCCTGCAGTCAGTGAGACATAGATCTGAGTGTCGTCTGCATAGTTGTGATAGGAAACTTCGTTTCTGCGTATTAACTGACCTAACGGCAGCATGTATAGATTGAACAGAAGAGGTCCCAGGATCGACCCCTGTGGGACTCCACAGGTCAGGGCCATATGATCTGAGACACAGTTTCCAATCTCCACAAAGTACTTCCTGTCTTCAAGGTAAGACCTAAACCAACTTAGGGCGGTGGCAGCGACGCCAACCCAGTCCTCTAGTCTCTGTAAGAGGATCTCATGGTCGACGGTGTCAAAGGCAGCACTTAGATCTAACAAGATTAAGATTGAGACTTTGCCTGCGTCAGTGTTCAGCTATCTTTGTGAGAGCAGTGAGCCGGACTGAAGGTTGATTACTAGTAAGCTGTAGGTAGACTTTTTCAAGACTTTCCCCCCATAAATGGAAGGAATTTTGAGATGGGACTTTGTTAAGTACCGTATCCAGACTGCACTAGTGATGGCAGTTTTCAAGGCCTTTGGGAATCCAGAATGAAGGGACATTTTTTACTATCTGTGTGAGTGAAGGTAGCTGTCTCAAACTTTAGAAATCGAGTGGGTAGTACATCCATCTGCATTGTGGACAAACTGGAGATTATCTCTTGGACAGTTTGATCTTTTACAGGTGCAAAGTAAGTTAGCTCAAAGAGCCTTTCTGGCTGTTGGATTGTTATCTGTGGATTGGAGACAATAACGTTTTTGATGCCTTGAACCTTGTCATTGAAAAAATGTGCAAACTCATTACATTTACGTTTGGAAGTTAGCTCTAATGGCATTTGCACAGGGGGGTTTGTTAATCTATTAACTGTTGAAAACAGAACACGCAGATTGTTGCTGCAGCCTTCAATCATTTCAGAAAAATACCTTTCTCTCGTACTACGTAGCACCTGGTTAAACTCGCACAACTTATCTTTGAAGATCTTGTAATCAACCTGGAGGTTGGACTTGCGCCACTTCCGCTCGGCCCTCCAGCACTCTCTCTTTTGTGCCCTGACCGAGTCTGCTTTAGCCCACGGCGCCTTCTGCTTATTTTTCACTATTTTAACCTTCACAGGAGCGATGGTGTCCAGAACTTTCAAAACACTAGAGATGACAGAGTTAAACAGTTCATCTATAGTAGAATACGATGCATTCTCAAAGTTTATCATTCCCATAAATAGTTCACCCGTATTTTCATTTGTGTGTCTTCTTCGTACAGTTG